AGAGAGAGAGAGAGAGAGTAGAGAAAGAGAGAAAGAGAGAAAGAGAGAAAGATAAAGATAACATGATAAATCACTCTCTAAGAATACGACCCATATCATTTGATTTTATTTCATTTATTTATTTTCAGTTCTGATTACAAAATAACATATACATATATATACATGAAGAAATATGAACTTATCTTAAACAGAACTTGCAAGGGCTCTAAGATATTAAGCAAAGCTTGATGCCTTGTGAGCACTGACAATTAAAATAGATGTACAAGCAAAATACATATACTAGGGAGCACCTGGTGATGCAAAAGTACAGCAAAGAGAAGAGAAGAATGATAGGCCGAGGCTTTACTTTAACCATTTTAACTAGTTTAAAATAGGCCTAAAGAACATTTTGATATACAAATTCGGGGAGGGGGTGGTAGTGGTTTATGGAGGGTTAAGGGATGAGAATGAGACCCTCCGTGCATTTATAGTGTCAACTTTAGATAAATATGTCCCTAGACAACTAAATAACGAACATTTTAAAATATAAATTCATTAGGGGAGGGGGTGCGGGATTAAGGAATAAGAATATAATAATCCCATAGATGCATTTATGATGTCAATTTCAATTAATTTTCATCTCAATTCATTTCAATAAACAATTATTGTAAGAGATGAAAATAATAACAAATTTGACAGAGGATACATGCATTTTTCAATAAGATAAATATTATTTATATATTCTTTTGAAAAAAGCAGATAAACATAGGTTTAAAATTTAATTCATTAAGATGACGTATACTATCATTGCACCATGGTTAGCTCAGCTTTAACATCTGATCGAAATATACATAAATTTTCAATAATTCATTGCATTTTACCCCGGCCCCCAACATAAAACAAATCCTCTTTAAGCCATGCATTATGGCTTAATGCATGGGCAAACAGAATTTTGTTTCTGTTGGGGACCGGGGGGGAATTCAATGAATATTTGAAAATTTATTGCATTTTCTTTTTTTATTTTATTTGTGGGAACTGCCCCCTACCCTAGCCCCCGCTGCGTACAGTCATGGTTCAGTGGCCAAGCAATGGCCTCGTAACTGTGAGGCCCCAGGATCAAAACCGTGTCGATTTGCTATATTAGTGCCCTTTTGTGGGGCATTAATCCTCATTACTGTCATTTATGACTTAAGGGCGTAGGTCCCCTAGTTGATAAGCATAGTAGCATACACATGCTTTAGCAGTCACGCAAAACAAACACTTGCAAATTATTATTCAATAAAATCTAAGAATGTATACTTTTACCTAGATCTATTAGGAATAAATCATTGTCAAAATAATTCCATAAAAAAAAGAATATTCCAACTATATGAGCGACAGTGTACACAACATCTATTAGATGTATAGTCCGTAGACAATGAATACCTCTATACCTATATACCCTACGTGTATCATATTGTCTTGTGTATTGTGAGGCTAAGCGATCTCCATAAGACTAATCGCCTTATTACGCTTATTGCTCGCCATGCTTTGATGGGTTATTTTTGAAATCCTGTACTAGCCATACTATTAAAAGGGCATTTCCATCACGTCTCACTTGACCCCTCATATCAGTTTCATCTAAAAATAAATAGAGCGTTGGTTATTAAAGGGGAAGTCCACCCTGATAATAGGTCGGTTTTTAATAGAAGCAGAAAATGACAAGAACAGGTCAGTCAGTCAGTCACAGTTTCAGCCAGTTCCGGTTAAAGATAAGAATGTTATGAGTTCCATATTTCATTTTATGATTATAAGTCGGTTTTAATAGAAGCAGAAAATGAGAGGAGCAGGTCAGTATTTTTTGGAGCAAATTATGAATGAGATAAGAAATTCATGAATTCTTGAAGTTTGTCATCAGGCAAACCCAAATTGGCAACACTGTGACGTTTCTCGTGAGCTCTTCTCCAATTTGCATTTTCTTCGTTATTGATGATGGAATAGTTTTTTTTTCCATTCTGGCTTTGAATGAATTTAGGATAGCCTACATGTATGAATGAACATTTTCTTGAGGGAAAATAAAGTTTTCTGATTTTGTTTAGTACAGAGCAAATAGGAGGGGAGCTCGCAATATATGTTACAGAGTTGCCAATTTGTGTTTGTTTAATGATCATTAACATCTTCAAAAATTCAAAACTTTCTTATTTTTGATCGGCACTTGCTCAAAGTTCCACTGACCTGTTCCTGTCATTTTCTTCTTCTATTAAAGCGTATCTGCCATAGTTTACAGGAGGGATTAGACTGCCCTGCAAGGTCACTGGACAGGTGGTTATCTCATCAACTCAGCTCTCAGTTAACATAAGAAAGAGAGGATCACGGGGGACCAATGGTCACCGATTAGGCATGGTTTGTTATATAGAGGGCGCAAGTAGCTACAAGTAGTGTAGTGGGCCTTTAAAACCCACTTTTTTGTTGGATTTATTCATTAAATTCGATATCCAGGAGAAGACAATGTAACACAGACATCAGTATAATCAATACAGAGAAAACAAGATAATGGGTATATACCAGCCAGTGCCTGTGGATTTCCTAAAACGATTGGGAATCCTGTCGAGAGGCTCTCCTCACTAGCCGGTGACAGGGTGGACTTCCCCTTTAACTTAGCTTTCCGATTGAGCTTTTAGTGCCATCAATTCAATTAAAAACAGGTGTAATGGTTAAAATAATGAAACAAGGATGAAAGATATCTCCGAATTGCGGAATATATTACCGCTGAATAATACTGCATTACATGATTTTTAACCTAGCTGCTCTTCGACCTTCCAGTTCGGATCTGTAAAAAAAAACACACTAAATTATGATATCCCTCTGATTTCCGTTTTCAGAACAAAATAAAATGAATAGAAATATACCTAAATCTTTAAAATTGAACGTAGTCAGATAGGTTTAAAGGTTAAAAAGATGGTCAAAGATGTTGACCGCATACTTTTTGTAAATATTTTGTTAAAAACCTCATAGGCCTACCGCTTATTATTCTGCAAAAGAGAGCTATCAGGTTATTTAATCTCTCTCAATTTCGAGCTCATACCCCACCTTTGTTTAAGATTACTTAAAAACTATTGTTATGTTATTTGTTGAACAAAACAAATCATTACGAAAATCACATGTGCTAAGTTGCTCTCCTTCATCATTATTGCTGCTATTCAATGGAAGATGACGAATATACATATTATATTACATGCAATTATGCCTATGTCTTATGTGCTACACAAAAACGTTTAATTCTTATCAGTATCGTCTTATAATGTTTGGTGTCTCCCTGCACCTAGCTCTCCACTACACCAAAGATCTTTGTCAATTTTTCTTCCGTGGGTATATCGCCCGGGTATGGGTTTCTACATAACTGAGACCCACGGGGTATGGGTGTAGGTGTGGGTGTGGGTGTGGGTGTGGGTGTGGGTGTGGGTGTGGGTGTGGGTTTTCAGAGGGAAGCGTGTCGCCTTACTTGCGAAAGCAAAGACACTAACCGGGACCACTGATGCAGTTGTAATTATGCACCTTTATATAAATAACTCCGATATGATTAAACGTGACATAACGTGATATAACGTGGTTTAACGAGACCCGGCCTGGCGTTGAGTTTGATTATCACCATGATAACGAATGAGAGAGGAGTCATAAATAGACAGACTAGGAACTAGACAGTCGTTTGAATTCCTGTCACTGTTTACAGGTGCCATATTGTTTGCCCTGTATCATAAAATAGATTAAAGGCTGTAGAAGACGAAAGAAGGACATGCCATCCTTTGAGTCAGTGTATCTAACGGAGGCTATTAATCTTCTTCATCTCCGTCTCACCCTCTGTCATTTTGTTGATAGCTTTGTCAAGTTGTCATCCTGGAAGACTGTCAAATAATTCTCACTTTTGCTGCAACATGAGGAGGAAACAAATACAAAAAATAAATACAAAGTAATATAACACCCCAGTGGGTATACGAATGTTGCGAGCACTGTGGAAGCACTGGTGTGTATTAGTGACTGCTCTTGACTCGCACACGAACGAGAGAGTTTAAATCCTCGCTCGGTCTTCATTATCATTGGCAAAATGTAATTTGGCCAAACTTGCCGCTCGCCATCCAGGTGTGTCACATGGGTAACTGGCAGTGATGGGGGCAATACAAAAAGCCGAGCTCGTAGCAGAAGTGACATGATTAAATACTGATGTGGGTACCCTGGATAATTTCATTATCATACCAACCCTCTTGTCTGATCAAGTTCACGAGTGCCGTTGTGAACAATTTTAAAATGTAAACATTTGTCTTATAATTATTTCCCTCTATAGTTATGGATCTGCGACTTTTTAACTTGAAATTGTCGCACACCAAACTTTTTAATCTTTCGTAATTTTTTCTTCTGAAAAGACGTTCGTTAAAAATGCATTACTATCCAAGACCTCCTCACATAGTCTTCTCTAAATCATTAATGACACTCGATTAGTTAAATAGGACTCTTCGCCGAGCTTGGGCAATTACTATTAATTGAAGTTAAGCACTTTCATTCCGAAGAATTCATGTTTTTGATCCGATACAATGACAATGATAATATAGGAAGATGGAGAGAAGTAAAAATGCCCGAGCCATTTTCTTCGAAAGTGGTAGTACGGTAGAGTAGAAGTTATGCAATCATAATGAGAGATAGTCGATGGCCAACAAAAGGGGATTAGTTCAACACAGAGCAACAAATCTATGAAATGAAAAGAACACTTCTACCTTCTTCGATTGTCAAGACATATGTTGTTGTCTGCGTTCTGATACTTAATTCAACAGTAATTCTGTATGCCTTTGTGCGCTGTCAGAAATAGCACGAGATACGGGAATGGGAACAAAGCCTTGATGCATTGATAATCTAGGGTTGAAGGTTTTGTTTGGCGACGAGGCAACAGAATCAAACGGCGGACTTTCTCGTCTTGTATTATTTGTGATTACCGTAGCGAATCTCGCTACGTAAGGAGATATCGATCATGGATGGTCAACTTAAAATTAGAGCTTGTTCTGTGGACCAGGGAGAAAGTCATTAAACGCAGAGCGTACAGCGAAGAAAGTCCAACTGACCATTATTAGATACAGAGCGCTCAGCGCACGCGTTGGGTCTTTAATCGGTATCTATGGGTGGATTACGGACGCTGTCATTTAGTATGAAAGGACGGCGGTGTTACGTTCGACATGCTATCCAATTCACTTTCGGAATGTTCTTAATTATTTCCTCGTGGTGAATTGTAAAATGATTCACTACAGTATTACAGTGGACGTGAACATATCTTGAATGTTGCTCTAATTATGGAGACGAGGGGGTGAACATGAAGGAAATGATGTGAACATGAAATATGAACTGCTATGGCTTCTGACGGAATGACAAGTGACACCACATCGACGGCTTCCGCGGTTGGTGAACCTTATTATGGTAGTGCTACTTACCAACCAAATACGGAATCATTATCTTTGGAGTATTGGACAAACTCGAGTGGAAATGAAACGGAATCTAAAGGAGTTTATATCATATTCAGCCCTCTGGCTGCTGTGGGCATAATCGCCGTATATTCTATAATCATAGTGGCAACTATTCTAGGCAATCTGCTTGTGTTAACATCGGTGTGTATGGAGAGGAAGCTCCGGAGCCCTCCGAATATCTTGATTATTAATCTCGCCGTGGCCGATATCCTCGTCGCCGTCCTTGTCATGCCTCTCGCAGCATCGTACGATCTAAGTGGACAGTGGATATTTAGCCAGCCTCTTTGTGATATGTTTATATGTTTTGATGTGATGTGCTGCACAGCGTCTATTATGGATCTCTGTGCAATTTCTGTCGACCGTTACTTTGCCATTTCAAGACCTTTTCGTTATGCCAGGCATCGAACGACCAAACTGATGCTCGGTCTGGTCGTTGGTGTGTGGGGTATTAGTGCTTTCATCTCCTTCTCGCCTCTTCTCATTTTTGAAAATGAACACTTTGCGAACGATTGTTTACTCTCCCAAGATCCTATTTACACCATCTACTCAACATTAACAGCTTTCTATGCTCCCCTGCTGATCATGGTTGTGGTGTACTATAAGATTTATCGTGCAGCTGGTGAATTAGAAAAAAGAGAACTCCAGAGGCGGCCAAGCACGCCCGGATTATTTACCAGAGGGACCGCTGCTGATAGATCAGGCAGTATTTCAAGCGAAAGCGATTCCACGTCGGATCCTTCCAAAGAACTCCGCCGGAAATCTTCCATCGCTCGCTTCACGGACTACGTTCGGAGCGCGTCGAGAAATTCTCTCGCGTCTGTTCATGGCAGTAAGAATAAGATCTCGGTGAAGCTAGAGCGGAAAGCATCGAAAACTCTGGGTATCATCATGGGCGCGTTTGTCATCTGCTGGCTGCCCTTTTTTATACTTGCCATCGCGCGCGTCTTCTGCAATTGTGTCATCCCACAAGCCTTGCACGGCACCCTCGTCTGGCTTGGGTACGTAAACTGCATGCTCAATCCCATCATTTATCCTTTCTTTAACAAGGACTTCGGGCCAGCGTATCGTAAAATGCTCTCCTATGCCTGTTGCGGACTTTGCCCCGCTCGTCGAAACTATTATGCAGCAACTAACAATAAGTTTACGCCTGTGCGACGGCATTCCTTTAACCCCCACCAAACGCAGCATCCAATAATTCCTCCAGAGCTTCACGTCATTGCTGAAGACAGTCACGACGAGGAACCGCAGGAAAATGGAGACAAAAGTCAACTGAATTGTAGAACAGAAAGGGAAGGGATCAAATACAAGTCAGTGCACCTTGACAAATTAAACGGCAACAGCAAAGGTAAAGGTAACCTCAATGAAATATCGGCAACGCACGTATGATTTCTGGACTCAAACGCAGCTCCCTTTGTGTAATATCTCTTTAGGAGAAAAACAGAAACATTTATTGTACTTTCAACAAGTTTCAGGTGAGAGTTGAGGTCACATATAATCCTCTAAGCGTTTAATCTCTATTTTGGCGGATTTATCGCTTTACACGAAAGACGTACTCTCTGAAATGTTGGATTCTTTTCTTCGTCCAATTTACCCGCCTTCCATGATCTATACACGTGAGGTTGTAAACAAACATATCAACAAGACTCAAATGTCCCCAGCACAATTGTTGTAAGGCCTCGGATTTGGAAGGTCTGTCTGCGATGGGCAAGGTCTGTTTGCTTTTTGTCCGACAAAGTAAACATTGAGTAAGCGTCCGTACGTAGCTTCCATGATACATGTAATTAATACATTCAGTTGACATGATAGTCGACTCTAATAAACCCTCCCATATAAGCAGGTACTAAACGGTTGCTTCAACAACGCTCTTAAAACGCTCTTAAATGGATTGCCCTATACATAGCTACATGTATAGCTAATAATATGTGAATAAAGTGGTAATATTCTCGCTCCTTTTTTTACCGTGTCTTATAGGTGTTTGTAGTATGTGATTCATAATGCAGCAAATAGGGAATACTTTGGGATTCCAATACAATTTAGACTTTTGTTTAAATTCATCTATTTAAAAGCAATGAATAATATACCATTTTCGTAATGTAATCAAATTTAATGCATAAATCTTTGTTAAGCGCCACGTTAAAAACAATTTCATTTACTTGTTACAGTTAATTGTATTTCAATAGTCAGAATACGAATTGCAAAAATTAGTTATTGCGAGGTAGGAAAAACAAACATGGCTTGTCGTTCCTAACAACACGGAAAGTAATTGTTGATAAGTAAGATAAAGAGGGAATCCTCAATCCTGTTGTTACCTTCTTAACTAAAAAAAAATATATATATATTTTTAGCGGAGCAGTGTTGGTTCTTACAAAGCTCGAAAACCTATAAAAGATAAGATAAGGAGATAAGCAAAATTTTATAAAGAGACTAATACATATTCCAGAAAAATGAGAAGTCCAAGATGTATATACATTATTTTTATCAAATTCTTCCATTCATGTTTGCCCGAAGTAGCATCATGCGCCATTCCGCTTGTCATGGGAACCAGGTTGACCATTTTTTTTTGTATATGTGTGCATGTGTTTGGATTGCTCTGTATTTCCACCTTCCAGTTTCACAGACGTTTTGTTATATGATACAGGGATTTATATTTATATCTACTCTTACGAATAAGTTTTCATGGATTATCAAAACACGATGCACAAATAACTATTGCATGGTGCTACACATATTGTTTAATAACTGTTTGATTTATAAGGCAAATGTCATTAAACGCTTGTTATCTACTTATTTAATGCTTCTTTTTAAAACGTACTTCGCACATTGAGGTAAAATGTCTTTCAAAACGCAGTTGTGCAAGAAAAAATTATAATACTTTGTTCGTTTGACTTTCATGATTTTTCCAGCACAAAGAAAAACGGCTTTGTGGCAGTGTTAAGAAATATTCTTTTTCAAAATCTTTTATCTCAAAGAAAATAATGAGTCATGAAGATATTGTTTTCATTATGCAGATATATGACCCTGACCCAATAGTGAATATTGAAATTTCATGAAACAATATTTTTATCACCATTTCGTGATTTCACATGGTTGACTCTGTCTTTCATGCTGTTTTTTAATTTAAATTTAGGCATTATCCTAATATTATGTTATTCTTGGTCTATGAAACGTGTAATGGTTATCATTTAAGATAGATGATTATTTGTAAGGTACCCGCTTAAATTCTCTCACACCCGATGCAGTTTTGACCATTATCATTGTTATCGATTTAATGAAGATATTCTCAGGCAGCATGTGTATATTGTCACAATAAAAGTGACAGAAATACAGGTGTCAGAAAATAATTAGTTCGAAGGTATTCCTAAGGATTAATAATATATATCAAATAGGAACAATCGTGTCTTCTAAGGTTATAAGACCAAGATAGGTAATTTTTCTTAACGTTTACCAGTCATGGTACTTGACAACTCTGCCACAAAATACCTAAAATCATTATATTCTGGCAAAATTTACTTTAATAAACACAAGATATGATCGATGCAAGATGTTTCGAATTGATTAAAGGTAGTGGGTAAACTTTTGCATTGAGTATTGTTAATACTTATAGTTCATGCTGCCATTATAATCATAAACCTTTAGGTCATTCAGGAACCGCATAAATTTTACAAGCCAATGGCTCGTTTGATTGCCAAGATATGACATCATGCCAATGCCAGTAGAAGGCTTTCGCATTAATTTATAGGATGTATTCAGTAGCTGTACCTTTGATTGATTTGATCAGTCAGTCGTTGTTTGATGTAGCAATTCCCCTCTATATTGGGATTTGATGCATGGAATTGCATATGAGGAAGATGGTAAAATAATGGTCTTCAAACCTCTGAAGAATTTGACTTAAATTTTACACTACTGGATTTTAAAAAACTCAATGCTATGGTCATTACATGGTATGAATTCAATCAACTTTCTTACTACGCAATTTTAATCATAAGATTAATGGCTATTTTGTATATCTTTATGTCACTGTTAGTTTCAATTAAAATGACAGTGCTATTAAGAACTTCATTCTGTGGATAGCTCTGTAAACTCTGATTAATATAGGATTTTAATTAAATTCTATAAAGGGTGGTACTCCGGGTGATATACATTACGTATTACGTTATCCGAACACGATGTAATCAATGCATCAGGGTATTAAAATAATCCTTGAGTTCGATATCTCACAATAAGTCTTTGCGATCTTAATCTAAAGATGTTATGCTTCATTAGCTGTTTCACTTGGCGATTAGAGTATTGATGGAATTGAAAAATCTTTCAATTTCTTTCTCATATTTACGGTTTCGTGGAACCATGTCCATTTATTATTTAGTCAATGTGATTGTTTATCTCGGAATATGCTTCGAAATGTAATTATCACGACAACACATATATCATTCGATATATCTTGGTTATTTTGGCAATTTATTTGTTCACATAAGCTACCGACATTTCGGACCGTTAACAACATGATTTATACCGAATTTCAAACACATTCCTTTTTGTATTATTATTGCAGTCTTAATTCAAGATATTTAATTCAAGATATTACGATATTTAGTTTCCCCCCAAATAAAACGGTTTCTACCCTCAAAATTTCCTTTCGTCTCACAATCGCATATCCTATGTAATAAAGCCGGACATAAAGTGCATTCGAAAAAATAACACCTTATTGGACCTATACGCACTATTGGTTATACGCCAACGTAAATACATATTTCGTTAACTTGATAATATTTTAAATATGTGAGTTGGGCTATTTGGGTCAACTCTCTGTCTTCGACAACAGACGGACCGCGGTTGGAAACTGAGTCACGTCTTTCAGATGGATTAAGGTCGATCCCAAGACGTAAATACTAATCATCTCTGATGGATACACGTCTGTAAAAACCCAGTTACTTTGACGGAAGTAGGATGTGCTGATCATATTTTTTCCATTTCATTCATAGCCCCTTCTTCTTCCATTCAGCCGAGGTTGTAAACTATTACTAGTAATGCACGATTGTTCCTATGTTGATTAGGGAGGTAATTTAGGGAAATGAATGAATTACTTTAAACAAATGTTGTGAATCATGTGTTTGACTGTTTACAGTACATATGAAGATGAGGGCTGTTTAGGGTTCATTGACCACAGGTAAAAACATTATATTGCTAGCATATAAGTTATCGGGAGATACGTGACACTTCAACATTAGTTCTTCGTTGGAAGGCATACATGATCGAAACAGGTGGCATACAGTATCGTGTATCGTTAGAAGAGGATTTATGTCGAAGTAGCTATATATATATATATATATATATACATATAAATATATATACGACTGCAGGTGCATTGCACACAATTAGCGTGATTAGAGACAGACAATGACCTCTCGTACGCAGCACACATCCTTGACATCTGTATGATAGTTTGGTGTCCGTTACATATGATAGTAGGTCGTTACTATCTAAGGGATTTGGAAAGAGCTATTGTCTTGCTTTCAATGGACGATTTCCATTTTTTTAAAGCACATCCTTTTTATAATTCAGAATCAGATAGTATTTACAGAAATGTCAAATTTTTACTTTGCCCATGGATATCATTAATTTTGTTTCATGAAATGGAAAACACACACAAATCATTAGTCAACACTCATTATGTTGATACCTTGAAACGACACTGTCGTGTTCCGGATACTTGTTTGCGATAGCATATCATGTCATTGTCAGAATAATAAAGAAAGCCTGCCGGGTTTCAGTAGACAGTAGCTTGCTTAATTAGGTGTCAGAGAGGTCATTATCCATCCCAACTCCCTGCTCTAATCAGGTGAATTGCGTGCAATGCACCTGCAGTGGTGTATCTATATCATTATATCTAGCTACTTCGATTTAAGAATCCTCTTCTAACGTACAGGATACTGTGTGCCACGTGTTTTGATCATGTATGCCTTTAAACGAAGAACTAACTTTGAAATGTAACATATTTCCTAATAATTTATAGGCTTACATTATAATAATTATCTTTACCTTCGGTCAATGACCAACCACTCATCTTTATATGTAGTTTCATTTTTGTGTTCCTCATAAAAAAGACAGATTAAAATGAACAATGTTTGTATTGCAGATGAGAAACCTGCCAATAACACACCTCCTTGTAGAGAATTTATGCCAAGTCCCATGAGGCTATAAATGGTATTATTTCATTCAGAGCCCCACTCCCACGTATTTTGTGTAAACATCTTTAAACTAAATATAACTTTACGTACACGATTAGAGGCAGGTAGCATTATAGTACAGATGAGGTTTAAATTACAAATGTTTACGGATGAAAGTCCATGTTGTGACTGTATCGAGTGTGCAATGAAATTGGTCACGTGCTTTGGTAATGAATATTGAATCTGTTTGTTGTCATTGTTGCTTGTGGGTTCAAAGTTGAGAAATATTACCCTCTTGATTTGTTCATGATATTGCTATAAAATGTGTCTCATTCGACATCTTGCTTTAAAACTTAAAGGTAAAGTCCGAGGAAAAGTGACCCAATATAAAATTGGCTGTGCTATTCAATTATTCATGACCTGGACGAAATAGAGACAGATTATGTAGATTGCAACAGACGGGTAGACGGATATGTAAAGAGTCTGACATTGCCAGGGTAACCAAAGTGATTAACGTGAGATATTTATATATACAGGATCTATAAATAATTTATTTTAAAGACTCCTCTCTCAAGAGTATAGAGACGAAGTTACACTTATTCACGTTGGACGATGCAAATCAGTATTCAGTATATAAATATGCATGTGACATGTTTACAATGTATTGTTATACCAAAGAAGTATTACACATATTTTGTTGTTGTTGACAATGTCGGTTGTAAGTTGGAGAGTGCGATATGTGTATCATATTATGTGTATTCCTAAATATATGATATATATGATTTATAATGCATTATGGATGTGATGTTTTAAAGAAACTGAGAATGAACTACACAATGACATAGTCTTGGCAAGAATATTGCAATGACAGTGCATATATTAAATGTGATTTTCTACAACATGAAAGTGTACGCTAATTCGTCATCATTGATTTGATTTTTTTACAGCAAATCGGGAATGTGTCTCATGAATGCCTATCTCTGTCGGAAATTCAACGCTTTTGTGATACAGAGTGATGAGTTTAAGCATGTTTAAAACGAATGTTAAGCTCTAGTAAAGATGACAAATACTCCTTGATATTTCTCATTCTTTCAAATATTGCAGATTTGAAATTTCCCCCAGAAATGATTTTTAAAATACCCTCGATCATCTTGGAAATAATGATGATATAAAGAGCTGAAAAGTTTGCATCAAACATTAATACCACATTTGTGTGTCGGAAGGCCCGTTTTCCCTGTTTTGTAACAATGCGTGCGATCTTCATGCATCAAGATTGAGTCATTACAACAACAAAATCTATCATGTCAAAACCTCAAAGCATACATCTATTCTCATGCGCGACATAGTACACGTATATGCACTTACACTCGGGCAGCTATTTTCCATGAAATTTCATGATAAATGCCCATCTTTATCTATAACGGATGAGCTGGTTGTACTTGTAAAAATATACTGTATTATTCACTCACTAATTTTATCTCATTGTGTGTCACACTATGCCATATAGTGGCAGTTACATACTACAAAATAGTGATGTAATCGTATCACAGTGTGATAAAAAAAGTACACTGTCGCCAAAAAGTTTGAATACGTTTCTTTCATCCTTTTCATGAAGAGATTGTGAAGATATGATTTATTCTTGACAGATTATGTTATATCAAAACTCAAAATGTTATTAGGGACTTTTAGATTCTGCACGACGAGAACGTGGACTGCCCTTTTAAGGCAATGTGACGTCCTTTTAAGGCGCTGGCACTGACGTCACATTGCCTTAAAAGGGCAGTCCGCGTTCTCGTCGTGCAGAATCTAAAAGTCCATATTGATCAATCTAAAGATTCATACAAATTGGTCAATCAAGTTCTGAGAGGATAAACTTTATCTATCACTACTAAATCATATTATGTCACAATCATCTCATGAATAAAGGTGAACAAAATATATTCCAACTTCAGGGACAACAGTGTAAATTTGGGACACTTCCACAATATTGAGTACATAAAATTGCTATCTTCTCACTATTACGCAGTCTTTTTTCCCGTAATAGTTCACATTATCGAATATGATATTCGGCAGATAGATGACAACATTCAAGATGGAAGACTAAATATTTTTAACATGCTTGATTCAATTTTTTAATGTTCGATCCAGCACGTGAAAAGTATGAATTTAGTATTTTTGAAATTTCACTCCTCTGCTTTATCTTAAATAATGATTTGAGATTGGAATTTTTAATTTTTTGTTCAAGTGAACATTGTTTTCATACTATATTCGAACCCGTCTACTTAAGGCCACCCAAGGGAAACAGAGGAAATGCATGGCCACTGTAGACAAAGGGCCTTTCTAGACAGGTTTTACAACACATATTTCTTCATGAAGGGAGACAGTAAAGGTGTCCACTATAGAGAGGTGGCCGTTATAACACTGCTTTTATGTACAATATTTCACACTCTATAATACTGTTCCCATGGTTCCCATATTATTGTTATCATTATCATTATTATTTAAAAAAATATTATTATCAAAACAAATTCTATTATCTTTACAAATTATTATTATTTAAAAGAATTCTTACTATTTTTAAAAATCATTATTTTCAAAAATTATTATTTTTACAACAAATGTGAAACATTAATTTTTCTTCATAATATTTCACAATTTTAAAGATTATTTTCATATTGATATACCATTGTCCAAAGCGTTTCGTAAAGATTCACACTGTGATCTCTTTACACCAATTTGTTCTCTCCGGAATCGATCAATTAATTGGCTGTCGAGGCAGTTTCCCACGAAACGGTCATATAAATTCTGACATCTTGGACATCCTTTTGGAACATGTGTTTAGATTAACTACGCGTTTCTGTAGGATGTCCGCAAACTTGGACTTATGACGGGTTCGAGAAAATGGCCACAGCAGTCTAAGTTCAATTCCATCTGACTCATTGTCATTGCCAAAGGATAATACAAATGTATCACCGACCGCACTCATCAAAAATAGTTTATGTTTTGAACTTGGAGTGTGTTTTTCTTTTTCAATTCAAGTTCAATGTAGTTTAATCATTCTTTTCAATTTTTTTTTGCCCTCTTAAAATTTCCCTGAAAATCTTGCTTTGAAGTCCAACCCAATCACAAGACGTGATGTTAAACCATAATTGATTTAATGCTCCTGTAATGTTAGGTTTTGAAGACGCGACTGTATCAAATTTCGCATGTATATTTTTGTTATTTACTTTGTTAAATCATCGCAAAATGTAAAATATATAAACTGAAACTTAAACTTAAACCAAACATATGAAACATATAGCAGAATAAAGTTTTAAACATAAATACTATTTGAAAAGTACTTTCCCTATCTTTCAGTGTCAAAAGAAATATCTTTTGGACTAGATAACGTCGATAAAGCTTGTGCATGGTGAGATACTGCATAGAAGTGTCTACATTAGAACCTGGCTAATTAAATTTCTTAGTGACCCACGGAAGCTATTTTACGAATTTGATTGTTTGATTACATCACTTGTTTCTTTGGATGGATGAGTGTGTTTTGTTGTATTAATTGGAATCCTGCATGGGGCGTCAAAGCTGTAATGTATTTTTGAATAAAATATAATGTAATATAATAAATTAGAATGATGGACAGAGCTACATTTATCTTGATTCTTTGATTTACCTATGTACTTTTAAAGCCCCTTAAAGTGTTGGGAGCCCAAAATTCGCCAAGAATGTTGTCGCAAAATTTGATTTAGATTGAATCGTAAAGTGAAAGAAAGTGTCAATTAAGACACTCCTCTGCAAAGATCCCCCCAAAAAGTGTTTGAAGAAAAATATTGATAAAAGAATACATAATTAAATTGTGTATTCCTTCATCAATATTCGACTTCAAACACAGTTGTTTTGAAAATTCTAGCAGAAATGTGTCTTTAATGACATCCGCTTTCCCAATATGATACAACTTTAGTGAAATTATGCCATCAAATCTTTTTGGGTCCCAACACTTTAGAGGGGCTTAATTTTTTTTTTTTTTTGTATTTCAACTGTCATATTTTATGTAAATCAATTATATCATATACTATCATCTTTATTTGAATATTTTGTATTTGTATTTTCAATAATTGCAGACACATCTGTTTAAAAAAATTCTACATGTATACACCTGCATGTACTATATGAAGCAAATTAAAGAGAAAGTAAAAAAACTGGTCTTGCGATTACATCATGGCAAAAGCTGTCGGTTTGGAATCAATTTGAAGAAAGTTGATTAAGCAGTACACAAGAATTAAGGCACACTTTGAGGTCTTAGAATGATAAAAATGAAGGGAAAATGGAAAAAAAGTGACGAAAATAATTTTGCTATTTTTTGTTTTTATTTTTTTGTTGGGGGGGGGGGAGGGGGGGAGGACTGAACAGAAAAATAGGTACACTGGACCAAACACATAATTTTTTATGTGGCAGAAAAAAAATTGGCATTTCAGCTCTGTTTCTAGTCATATTTCGAATATGAGGTCAAATTGAGATGAAGCATCAGGGGAGATTTCTACTATAATATTCTTCCACACTAAAATACAAAGAACTGAAAGAAAAAAGACACAAATCAATTGCCAATCTATCCCAGAACTCACTTTTCTCTTTAAAGGTAAAGACCAGTTATGGTCATGCGATTGCATTGTGAAAAAAACGTTGTGGAATCGATCAGAAAAGGTTGACCATCTAGCATCTAGCATCTGCAAGGTTCTGGAATCATCAAAATGATAAGAAATTTGGCCCATTCTTCGTAAAGTTACAAGCACTGTACACAGAAAGATGTATATGGGACTACCCTATATCTCTCACAGACCATGAGAGAAACAAATTTACTAAATATATGAATTAGTAGGCGGTTTCCCGGCAAATTTTGTATCATTATGTATTAGTCAAAACATATTCTTTCACATGATTGGTAATGAGAGCTTCCATTTCTATTTTTGAAATTGGGGCATTTCCAATACTGGTCTTTACCTTTAACGATCAACTAGTGACGTCCTTATATTGCCACGAACCACGACATCTAGTCTTCCAGCTGCCACCTATGGGAATAATCCCAATGATATTGGTGTCACGTCTACTAATCGAGCTATTTCTGATCCCAACGGATACGAATGTTACGCAGCATTACGTAATACTTTTTACCTGGATATATTATCATATCTACTAACAACCCACAAGATTATACAGTTATTGCTAATTATTACAAAAGCAAGTTGCTTTGAGGATAAGGACAAACAAAATTGAGGAGCAGGTATGATACATTTTGATCGAAAACGGACATATAAAACGATTTTTTTTTCATAGTAAAACTTGTTGGAAAACCGGGAGGTCGTGGGTTCGAACCCCGGCCGCGTCATACCAAAAGACGTTAAAAGACAGGAGTTGCTGCTACCTTGGCGTTCACCAATAAAGGGATAGAGCAACGTCGATCTGGCGCTGCTCAGTGGCTGCCGGACTCACGATCAATTGGGCAAAAAGAATTTCCTTTTTCGGCTTAACTTAATAAAATTTGGAGTGGACTTTCAAAGATTATTATTATATTCCCGTTTTCTGTAACAACCATACATTATTTTAACGTACTTTGGTAAACAGGAATAGTCGCTTTATGAAGAAGATTAGTTGCAACAAATACTGTCTTCCGTCACCTCGGTTATTGCTACATTTTTCCTAGAGCCAAAAAAGGCAATTCTGAGTCTCAGCAAACGAATTGTATTATCATGATTAATGACATCAAAGTGACGTATCTACAAAGTGTATAGCTGTACTTATAGATCTAGAATTGTTGCTGGAAAATGGCCTCGTTCGCACAGTGTATCTTTCCCTTTTTACTGTAACTTCAGACGTGAAAATGTATCTTTTATACCCAAAAGGTGTCATAGGGTTTCACA